ACACCCCGCCCCCTCTTCATGTCAAAGATTGCAGCTAGGGCACCGCCCCTCTCCTGCCCCCATCCCGGGCGATAATAATAGAAACGTTGTGTTTTTTTGTATGCAAGTTCTGAGACTATGAATTTCTTAACCCATGATTTCTTTGGCATTTCGCAGGGTGTATTCCTCCAGAGCGGCCACGGCGATGAACGAGCTCCCGAGATGCGAAGCGGCCGCGCTGTCCCGAGCATTCCATATGCCGCACCGCTGGTTCTCTCACGGCGCCCGGGGGGTGGCAGGAAAGGGAGGTCCTGGGATCAAATCGCGACCCGCTGTTTGCATGGCCGCACACTCGAGAGCTGTTAGTTTGACATTTGAATGGCGTTCCGGTTTCATTAGACTGCAGAACGCTGCTGTTCGACACCGTCCACTCGCGGCGGTGATCAAGCTGGAACTCTCGCCCGCCTACTGGAAAACCCCTGCCATGTGCCAGCACATGTCATATGCGTTCTAAGGTGCACACTTCCCAGATAGGCTACACAATGAGGTCCTCCCTGCCCTCATCTAAGCTCGAACCTTTCATGAACGACATCTTCAGATAATGCTTGTGCAGAATCTCGCAGAGCCCCTGTGCCCCAACGCGTTGGGTGATTTGTTCGCCCGTCGCCTGATTGAGCTTATCCATGAAGATAGGGCTAGCATCCTATCCTTGCCGTGGACTGGGCTGCGGTCCAAGCTGTCCTTGCTGCCCCGTCTGTCGCGCTTTCGTCTGCTGCCGCTCGGACTTTCGAAAAGTTGGCTCACGCAACGTAGATTTCAACAGTCTGTCAATTCGTTCTGTCTCTGCGGGAATCCTCCCGACCTGAGTAGCGAGGACTCCTTCGCTCACTATTGAAGTTGTCCCGCCGTTTTGGGGACGTTTCTCGTGGCTCTCGTGGGCCCACTCGCCCTGTGCCCTCCTGTTCGGTTCGGGATTCTGCCGCCCTCGGAGTCATCGTTAAAGGTTCCAGTTTATGTCTCTGTATTGTGTAACGAGATGCGCGCGAAGTCCTTGCGTCTCGGCGGCCGACCGCTGGACGTCAAAGAGGCAAGAGGCTTCATCCCCACGGTGCGGCATCAGACGCTGCGCTAAAACTTCGAGGGCCGCCCCTTTTGGCCACGCTGCAGGAGAAGGAGGAGGAGGAGGAGGAGGAGGAGGAGGAGGAGGAATAAAAAGGAGGAGGATAGACGAGGAGTTTAGACGAGGAGGGGATGATGAGGAGAGATGAGCGCGAGGAACGGGAGGATGTGGAGAAAAATCAGAGGCATTCCTGAAGTTGACCAGGTGCCGCGCACATCTGGCGCCCCCCGCCTTTTGCAAGAGTCGACGAGGTGCCTCGCGCACCCAGATGGTAGGACCTCCGTCATCGCCAATACAGGCGCGATCCGGTCCGTTTCTGATCCAGACCGATATTGCGACTCGACCCAGCTCCAGCCTGGCAGATTTGCCACGCCTTGAAACATCAAAGCAGGGGTGCCTCTTCGCCTTCGGACTCCGAGGGCCCTCGCTGGGCCCCGGGGGCCTTCAAAACGATGCAGTATGAGAAGCCAGCCTTTAGCAAAGGATTTGGATTTGTGGGGGGGGGCCGCATTGACAAACAAATTACCGGGTGAAGGACCCAACCATATGCAGCTGTGAGTAGCGTCGTTGTGATTGTCGGTGGATTTTTCATGGGGCCACGAAGGGCGTGACGGGCGTGCCGAAATGTGACGGGGCCGCCTGCGGGCGTTGCCACTGGGGCCGCAGGCCTTAGGTGAAGCTCCCTGTGGGGCCACGACACGTGTGACGGGATCGCGGAAATATACAGTGGACCCGCATGCGGACCTTGCCACTTGGGCCTTCGGCGGAGCACCCTATGGGGCCCCGACACGCGTGAGAGGTGCGTCGGAATGGAGGTGGAACTGCATGCGGACCCTGCCACTGGGGCCTTCGGTGGAGCTCCATATGGGGCAACGAATCGTGTGGGGGGTGCGCCGACATGGGTGGTTGAATTGCTGATGGACCCTGCCACGGGGACCTTCGGCGGAGCACCCTATGGGGCCACGAAGCGCCTGAAGGGTGCGCGGAAATTCAAGTGGAACGGCATGCGGACCCTGCCACTGGGGCCTTCGGTGGAGCTCCCTATGGGGCCATGAAACGTGTGGGGGGTGCGCCGAAATGGAGGTGGAATTGCATGCGGGCCCTGCCACTAGGGCTTTCGGTGAAGCACCCTATGGGGCCACGAATCGTTTGAGAGGTTCGCCGAAATGGAGGTGGAACTCCACGCGGACCCTGCCACTGAGGCATTCGGTGGAGCTTCTTCTGGGGCCGGCCACGAATCGTGTGAGGGTTGCGCCGACATGAAGGTGGAACTGCATGCGGGCCCTGCCGCTGGGGCCTTCGGTGGAGCTCCCCATGGGGCCACGTAACGTGTGGTGTGTGTGTGTGTAAGTGTAAGTGTAAGTGTAAGTGTAAGTGTGTGTGTGTGTGTGAGTGTGTGTGCGTGTGTGTGTCGGCATGGGTGCGGCGGGCGCATGCGATCGCAGCCACTGGGGCCTTCGGTGGAGCACCCTATGGGGCCACGAAACGTGTGAGAGGTGCGCCGATATGGACCGTCTGATGATGATGCTGATGATGATGATGATGATGATGATGATGAGGATGATGAGGATGATAATGCCGATGGAGATGAAGATGACGATGAAACTGGATATGATGATGAAAATGATCATGCTGCCATGATGCTATGACGATATGATGATGGTGATGATGTTGATGATGATGGTGGTGATGGTGATGTTGATGGTGATGGTGACGGCGGTGGTAATAAATGATGATGATGATGATGATGATGATGATGATGATGATGATGATGATGATGATGATGATGCTGATGATGATGATGATGATGATGATGATGGTAGTGAGTATGATAATTGTGATGATGGTGATGACGATGATGATGATTATGAAGATGAAGATGGTACTGACGCTGATGCTGATAATGGTAATGGTGGCGATGGTTAGACAGTGATGATGACGATGACGATGACGAGCATGGTGACGATGTTGCGGATGCTTGTCATGATGATGGTGGTGTTGATGGTGGTGATGATGGCGATGATGATGATGATGATGATGATGATGATGATGATGATGATGATGATGATGATAGTGAGGATGATGATGGTGATGATGATTATGATGACGACGACGAGGGTGATGAGGATTACGATGATGATGGTTATGGTGATGATGGTGCTGATGACGGTGTTGACTATGCAGAGGATGATGACGATGATGAAGATGATGAGTATGATGATGTTGGTGTTGATGGTGATGACGATGGTGATTACGCTGATGATGATGATGATGTAGACGATGGGGACATGCTGAGTGCTAAGGTCAGAGGCAGGGATGAGGGAGGAGCGGGAGGAGGAAGTGGAGGAGGTGTGAGGGAAGCAGGGGCGCCGGGCGCTGTCTCTTCAAAGCGAGGACCAGACACCACCGGATGGTTGGGAGTGAGGTAGACCTGCGTTGGCATGGCCATTTTTGAGCCACATCGGCCCAGACCTGCGTCGGGTGTATGGTTTCAATCTCGGCGTTTCTTTTGAACGTGGGTTTGCAAGGTCGGGGATGGACAGCACCCCCTTTAGTAAAACGTGGTTTAGTGAAAACGACCTCGGGCCCAAATCCTGGCGGGCGCAAGCCTGGAAAATGACGGTCGCGGTGCCCTCTCGAGAACCGAAAACGGACGATTCGCTAATCAACGTGTCAGGGTAGGAGGTGTGTCCACCCCCGACAAGGGCCGTGTTCGGGCCCCGGGCCCTCGAACAGTGGCCAAGAACAACAAGCTGGCCCCGGGAATGGTGCCGAGACCTCGGGGGCCCGCGGATGGAACAAAAAACCTTGGGCACGCAATTCGCCGTAAAAAGTCCTGGCGGAGAGCCACCAGGAACGCCCAGGGGTCGTTTACAGCGGCAGTGAGGGACCATAGAACAAGTACTGGGTAGTCGAAGGCCAAACTGTCAGATTGGATTGGGCCCCAAGGGCCAATCTGGCCCGGCCAAACTGGATGATTTGGGTTATTCGCCAGACTGGATTCGCGTTGGCTCCCTCGCCAGATTGCCCCCGTTTGCCAGATTGGGCCTGCCAGATTGGCTTCGACTACCCAGAAGTAGATTTCTGCATGATGGTAATGGCGATTCAGGAAAGAACGGCGGTGGCGGCAATCGTTATGATGGTGACATCGGTGCCGCAGGCTGTGGAGGAATATGACAATGATGCGATGGTGGCGACTGCGATTGTTATGGTATGGTGGCAATGGTCATGGTGGTGATGGTGGTGATGGTGGTGGTATGTCCTGAATTGGGTTCACAGAGTGCCAGACGAGGGCGCAGAAAGTCTCTGGAGGAACCCAGTCACCCCTAGGGGGTTCCAGCACGGCCCCAAGATGGCGCAAGATCGCCTCGAGATATTGCTCCAAGACGTGCTCTTAGAGTGTTGCCCGATTGCGGTTGCGGGTGTGCTTGCGGGCGCCCGCGGTCGTGGCCAACAACGTGTGGCCGGTTGCCGTTGCGGGGACCAGAGCGTGTTACCCGATTGCGGCCACGGGCGCGGCTGCGGGCTTGGATGCGGGCGAGGTTGGCGGTGCCTGTGGCCAACAATGTGTTGCCCGATTGTGGTTGCGCGCGCGGTTGCAGGCGCCCGCGGCCCGAAACGTGTTACCCGTGTGCGTGGTTGCGGGTGCCCACGGCCCGACATGTGTTGCCCGATTGCGGTTGCGGGTGCGGCGGTTGCGGGCGCGGTCAAGGGCGCCCACAGCCCCAATTGTGTTGCACAGTTGCGTTCGTAGCCCACATGCCCCTCCCCTGCCATCTGTTCTCCTGCTGCTCTTCTTCCTCCTCCTCTTCCTCTTCTCCCTCGCTCTCCCCGTCATCGTGCCCCCCTCCTCCGTCGAAGATGAAGGCGGCGGCGGCGACGGTCGCGCGCGGCGCGCGAGGAAGAGGAGACGAGATCGAGATCGAACGAGCTGTCCCGCATCTCCCACGGGTCCATCGCCAACGCCATGCACGAGCTGGGAGGCCGGGTCCACCACTTGAGATCCTCGAGTTCGAGAGTATTCGGCTGAGCCGTTGTGGCTCGATGCCCTGCCAGGCCCCTTTTGGGCCTCCGGGGACCTTTGGAGATTGGCACCCAGGGGATCCCTTCTGACCCTTTAGGCGTCGGAGCCCCCTCGGCCGCCAGACAGACCCTCACCACCCACCAAACCACCCCAACCCAACCCGAAGGCTTCAATTTGCTTTCCATTTCCAGTGGGTGGGGGGTCGGGGAACATTGAAAAAACACATGGAACCCGTACCCCCCCTCCAATCCGAAATTCGGGTCAAATTCGGGTCTTCGGGTTGAGTTGGGGTGGTCTGGTAGGTAGTCAGACACAGGATCAGGCCCCTTCGGCGGCCGACCGGGCTCAGTTCCCCCCGCCATGTTGGAAGCGAGCTCGTTCGGCTGCCCACTCGGCGGCCGAACGGGCTCAGACGCCGAAGGGGCTCAGAATCAAGGGAGGAAAAACCACCCGGACCCGACAATTGGCGTGTACTAAACGGCACTGGGCGTTCACTAAACAGTCCTACCCTGTTTGATTTCCTCTTTGAGTGCGTTTACTCAACGGCTTCGCGTGTCGGGGCGATTATTCAGGGGTGGATTTTCTGCCTTTACAGAAGGGCTCCCCTGGGGCTGGAAGTTCCAGAGGCCTCTTGACACCTCCGAAGGTTCCCGCCGCGGCCTCGCGACCCGGACGCACCGGCGGCGCGAGCGGCGCGAGCGGCAAGGACATGGCAAGAAAACGTGCGTTCCATACGGCGGCGGTGACGTCGGCATGGCGCGCTTCTCTCGAGGACATGCAGAGGGAAGTTTGGCCCAAGGCAGGGCTCGGGAACGAACCCAGCTTGAGGCTGAGATGCCCCTCCCTCCTACAGGAGCCGTCCAGAGCGATGTGCCTCCAACGCCACCCCCTGGCCCCATCCACCCGTTTGGCCTCCCAAGTCTCGCGTTGGAGAGGGGTGTGGGGAGGGTGGTCCAGCGCTGGCGGGCGAATCACCCACAGACGTCCAAAGGTTTGTGTCTACAGTGCCGTTTTTGATACATGCTCCGCGTGCGGATCATGTATCAAAAATAAATGGATTGAGCATTAGACACAATCCTATGTATTAAAAACTGCCCTGTACGCCTCTGCTCTATGCGCGCCGTCCTCCTGTGCTCAGTGTGCGGTCGCTTCCGTCTCCCAGTAGACGCCCCACCGCCGCCGCGATGGCTCCCGCGGCCGCTGGCCAACCAGGTGTCTGTCGTAAGTCGGGCCTGTCCCCCTACAGGGGGATCTTCGACGAAAAATAAAAAAAGACCCCCAAGATAGTCAAACAATAGTCCAAAAATAGTCTGGGGATTATTTGTTTAGTACTGGTTGATCTTTTGGGGGCATTTTTGGGGTATGTTTAATTTTTCGTCGAACATCTCCCTGTAGGGGGACAGGCCCGACTTAGTCTTTGTCTCTCCGCCCTCCTGAGGTTGCTTGCTGCGCTTGCGCCAAGGGCTGCAAGCCAAGGCAGCCAACCCGGCGGTCTCTTCTGAGTACACGCGGTGTCCGAGCCCACTTGGCCGCCGAGCGGGGCCGGCGTCGGGGGGCAGAGCCGGCAGCCGAGCGAAACGAAATCCACAGAGGAGCAAATGACAATGAAGAGCAAGTCATAATGAATGGTAAGTGCACAGAAAGAGAGTCTTCAGCTGAGCAGGCGACCGCGATTGCCCTGGCCCCTCCAAGTGGCAGGGGCCCAACGGGCACGCAGGCAGGCCATGCGGAGGCCAGGAAGCTGTCAAGACATGCTCGCTTATGACGGCATGTGGGTCGCAAAGGCGCGATACTGGTTACAGCTCGTCTGTCAGTTGTAGTCGTGTCGTCGTTCACCATGACTGGTGGCGTCGTTGTTTGTCGTCGTCGTACCCGTCGTCCATGCGGGCCCGTTCTCACACCCAGATGCTCACAGACAAACCGTATCAGCGAGAGGTGTTAGGAACATGCAATATGCCTATGGGGATCTCTGCGTCGCGTAATCCTATGTGATTGTCACTTTGGCGTCCTGCCCCTAAGTGGGGGAAAGGACACCACGGGACGGCGACCTGCAGGCAAACATTGTGACAAGGACGCAGCGGTTCATCAAGTTTGTGCTTGCAGCCTGACCCTGTTGGCCAACCCTCGGCAATAATTTCTAGAGCTGTTGACACGGTTCCGCCGAAAGTGTTTCCCCGTGGACGTCCAAGGAGCTTGCGCGCGCCATATGCTCCATCGGGCTGAGACGTCCAACACCGCATTCGGTTCGCCGAGGGTACAGGACGCCGAGCGAAAAGGCTGGAAAACATAGTGGACAATAGATGCACATTCGCATATACTGTTTGGGCGACTGTATGTGCATTGTCGCGTTCTTGTCGCAATCGCACGGGGTAAGCACCGTCTAGTTGTGCAGTTCGCACCTGCCTGAGTGGATACAGGGCAGTGGAGACAGACGACGAGTGTCGTTCACTGTGCCGCGATGCCCTGGATGTTTGAAGGATGCGTTATTCAATGTGACCTCGTGGCTGTGCTTCTTCTTCTGCAGCTACCGTGCTATGGGAGCTAATTTTGCCAGCCAGGGCACGGCATGTGACCCGAGCAGCTGGCAAGTGGCGTGGGTGAGGCCATGGCCCGAACACGAAGACCCCGGAGGCGAAACGCAGCTCCTGCTCGCAAGCTTCCAGCTGCGCAGCTGGCACTGGGGCTTTTCGGTGGCGCCTTGAGCGCCTTCCGACGATATCGGGGTGGTACTGGTTGGGTTTGGGTTTGGTCGGGGGGAGCATTTACACCTTGGCGCCCGTGCTGCTAGATACTGCGTGTTTCTGCCAGCAGCTAGTGAGTGCCGCACTAAGCTGACCGTCTCCTCGGCGAATCACAGCGCAATCCGATCCACCATGCAGAGGTGGGAGAGGGGAGGTCACGGCGGCGACACCGACGACGGCGACGACGGCGGCGGCGACACCGACGACATGGGGCCGGGTCGGCCGACGACCGCCGAGGGGCGGCGGCGCAGCTCGCCGTCGCGCTCGGCGCCGCACCCCCTCCGCGCGGGCCACCTGCCGCAGTCGAGAGACAGGCCGCGTCAAGGGGGGGACCCAGCCGTGCGGCGTCCTGGTTTTTGTTCGGTGCGCGGCCCCCCCGAAGAGCCTCGACCCCATCTCCGGGGCCGGCTCTGCACCGCGAGTTGTGCTGTGGACCGCCCCGAGGCCCAGTGGTCGGCGGCGGCGATAGGGGCGAGTAGCCCAGGGGCGGGCATTACACGCATCCGCCCTTGAGGCTTCTCGAAGACATAGGTCGTCGGCGCACCTGATTACACGCGTTGCCCTCCCCTGGGCTATTCGCCCCTAGCGTCGCCTCTGAAGTGAGGGCCCCCCAGAGGCCGAAAATGCAGAGAGGCCGCCCGTCCCGATTGCTCCAGGACGCGAGCACGCCTGGGGGGCACCGCCCGCGGCCCGGGGCTCCGCCGCGCCGACCATGGCCTCCCTCCGCGAGCAGCTGGAGAGCCTCGCGGCGCCGCCAGAGGCGCTCGACCCGGAGGACCGCGCCGCACCTCCGCGCCCTCCGCGCTCCGCCGCCGCCGCCGCCCCTGCCCGCCGCCGTCGCCGCCGCCCGCAGTGGCCGTCCTCTGCGCCGGCGGCGGTTCCCGCCGCCGTGGTCCCCTGAGATCCTGGCGTCGCAAGTTTTTCACGGCCGGCGCTTTCGCTCCATCTCGAGCCCTTTGCGGAACCTCACAGATCGCTCTGGCTCGAAAAGTGACTCAGAAAGGTGGGGCCTAGGATTCTGGGCGTGTCTCTTCAACATGTTGCATTGTGTCGCCACGTCGGATCTCAGGGTCGACCACACGTAGGGTGGCCCTTCGCCGGGTGGACCTTTTGGCTTTTTGGTGCGGGCCCAGAAGGGCCCCCGATCGCTCAACGCGATGCGGTAGCAGCGGCCTGCGCTATCGGGTTTGGCCTCCTCGCGCCCCCCAGAAGCCGCGCACCGAAGGTCACTCACTCTCACGTGCAGCCAACATGAGCCGCCCAGCCCGGCTGGGGCGAGGCCGCGCAGCGCGGCCTGGCCAGCGCCACCGCCGAGCGTGGTTGCGGAGGGGGACAAGGAAGAGCAGGAGGAGGAGCTCGGGGAGGAGGAGAGGCACGGAGGAGGGGGGGAGGGGGAGGAAGAAGGAAGCAAGGATGAGGAGGAGGAGGAGGAGGAGGAGGAGGAGGAGAAGGGGGAGAGGGCAGGAAGAGGAAGGATGATAAATCAGGGGGGGAGCAGGGGGAAACGCGAGGGGTGAGGATAAGGGATGCGGGAGAAGAAGAAGGTGGAAAAGAAGGAACGAGTACAGTAGGGGGGAAGGAGGAGGGAGAAGGACAAGACGACTAAACCTCGTTCCGATGGTTTTTGAGACTGGGGGGCGGCCATCCGACGAGGCAGTGACCTTCGTTCGGAGCTACGGCGCCTCCCTGGAGGACGCCGACCGGTCCGAACTCCTGAGCCAGATTCAATGGGACATCTCACGCACCCTGCAACAAGGGAACGCAGAGATGATCCTGAGCGCCCTGCGGAGGTAAGCGCTGACCGCCCCCACGCCACAACCACCCACCAGCACGACCACCACGGCACGATCACCACGACCACCAGCAGCCCGACCACCAGTACGACCACCACGAGCACGGCCACCTCGACCACCAGCACCCCAGCACGACCACCACGTCCACCACCAGCACGTCCGATCTACCAGCACGGTCACCACCAGTCCGACCACAACTACGACCACTACTCCACCACTGCGACCGCTACTCCGACCACTGCCACCCTCACTACGACCAGCCGCCGATCTCTGCGGCCACTGCCGCCCCCCGTTCCCCCCCCCCCCCTTCCCCCCTCCCTTCCCTGTCCCTGCCGGGCCGCACCCTGCCGCGGCGCCAGTTCCGCGACTGCCACTGCTCCTTGCGTGATGCAAGTGCTCGAGCTTCCACTTAGAGGCGGAGCGCCACTGGGCCGGTCCTCCAAGAGGCTGTGTCTGGCAGGTAGCGCGTTGCGTTGCGATGGGGCTCGGGACCATAGCCCCAATGCCCGGGGGTCCCCCTTGGTGACGGGGGTGGCGACCCACTCGGGTGCCCCCGAGTTTTTTTTGAGGGGAGGAGAATGAAAAGGAGGAGGGGAAGGAGGAGGAGGAGGAGGAGGAGGAGGAGGAGGAGGAGGAGGAGGGGAAGGAGTAGTAGGAGGAGGAGGGGAAGGAGGATGGACGAGGGATGAGGAGGAGGAGAGGCAAGAAGGGTGGGGAGGACAAGGAGGAGACAGACGGGAAAAGGAGAGATGGAGGGCATTGGGGGGGAGGAAGAGGCGCAGGGGGGTGAAGGACGAGGGCGATTATGGGGATGACCAGGAGGAGGTAGGAGGCTCCTGACCTTGATAGGCGCCAGGGTCGTCTATCGGGGAGCGTCAAGCTCGACCCAGAAGACGTGTTTAGGAAAGCCCGCGCCCCGCACGGGTTCCGAACATAATGCGCACCTCATTCCGCCCAAGGATGACGTGGTCGAGACCTTGCGCCATTACGACTGTTCCGGACGAGCCCGTTTTCAAGACGGCTTACCACGGCACCAATTTGGCCATTATTGTTGCAATGTGGGGCCGCGGCGCGCATGTTCTGAAAACCAGAACTTTCCAGCATTGTGTTCCACTGCGAGGGCGAGCATCGTCGTAGCAGTTGCGTTCACTACATGCTTCACATGTCCTCTGACGTCGGCCATGAGATGAACCTCTATATATTCCTGCATTTTCGAGATGCTACGAATATCTGGATCCACGCTACGACGATGAGGGAGATCAACGACAAGGTCCAGAAACGTGAGTTTGTTTTCGGATGGTACAAGCTATGGAATCCGACTGTCAGGATGTACCTTACAGCGAAGGTGTGCCCAGATGCTTCTCCGAATGTGCATGCGTACTCGGACGACCTGATCGAGGATACCCATCTGGAACTGCCTGGCATCGGACCGTCTCGTCCCGCACCCGTCTGAAGGCATGAGCGGTGGCTTCCGCAGTGGACGATCGAGCAGTGCCGCTGCTTGCTATCCGGGGCGCACGGACAGCCCCACTGGCCGCCCAACTCCGAGCCTCCGAGCCTCATGAATACGATGAGTGAGTCCGCGGGCGAGTCTGGGTCGGACCATGGCGAGATGACTGGTAATCATTGGGAGGATTTGTCCTAGCGGGTTTTTTTCACAGGTCTCTGTGTTCGCGTGGTTGGAGCGGCCGCGTGTCACGGATGACCTGGGGACGACACTCTGAGGGCATCAGGGTCGAAGGCTACGTTTACGTGTAAGAAGCTCGAGGTGAGTTGAGGCTTCGGCTGAGCGTTCGGCCGAAAGCAAAAAAGTAGGAGCTGTGGTTGTTATGCATAGTTCAGCTTCTTGCCTCCTGCACCTCTCTCTCAGCTACCCGCCCCGCGGCCGAATCGGATGGCAGGGCCCTTGAGTTGTGTGGCGCGCCGGCAGCGGGCGCGCGAGCCCCCGCAAAAACAAGGAGAACGTGCTCTCTCTCTCTCTCTCTCTCTTTCAGCAAGGGCCCCTCTATTTGCACATCGTGTCTCTCTGAGTTCCATGGAGCTACCACAGTGCAGTCCACAGAAGGGGGAGAAGGAGACAGGAAAGGGAGCAAGAGGAGGAAGCAGGAGAGGGAGAAGGAGACGAAGGACCGCACCGCCGGAACACGGGGCTCCATTTCGTGCCGTGCCGCGGGCCGTCTTTTTATGGCCAGTGCCTCCAAGGGCCTAAGCTTTGAAAGGCCCAAGGGCCCAAGCTTGCGAACATGTGAGAGAAGCTGATGCTTTGACATTGTTTTGCGCCTCCCCCTCCCTGGCACCCGCCGGTTCAGTGCATGATGCATCCCCTTTTGCGGGGGCGTCTTCTCGTACCGCTTCCAGGGAGAAGCACTCAGCGGCGCAGTCTGTGCGCCCACCGCACCGCAATGGCCATCATGCGAAGTAACGCGCCCGCGTGCTATTCATCAGCTTGAGTGAACTGCGATGGCGTCTCGGAAGAGTTCGCCGTTCCTGGGTTTGGGGGGGTTCTATTGCGTTTCAAAATAATTTGTTGAGGAAGTATGGGGCGGGGGCCGATGTCGTTGTAGCTGGGCGTTCACCAACGTGCACGAATTGCAGGGAACCTTCGACTTGCACCCTGAGCGTGAGTACTCGTCCTGTCAAGGCGCACGCGAGTAAATTACGAGGAAGTACCGAGCGGGAGCCGTTGTCGTCGTATTTGGGCCTTCGCCAACTTGAGCGATTTGCGGACAAATCTCGAGCGAGAACGCCGTCATTAAGACCGGGGGCCTTTTCTGGACAGGGTGTTTCAGAGCAAACTGTGACACATTATACGGCGGGAGCCACCACTTCACAAACTTGACTGATGTACGGAGCGTGCCGTTCCTGAAGTTTTAAGCCTATCTGGCCAGGGCGTGTCGGAGTAAAGTGCGAAGGGGTATCGAGAGAGAGCCGCTGTCGTCGTAGTTGGGGCTTCCGGGATTTGGGAGCAAACCCGCGCTCGAGCGGGGGCGACGCCTTCAGAGAAAACGTGGCCAGCGTCGAAGCGAGAGTGGCCAAAACCGTTTCCAGAGATCATGAACATTAGAGTTCCCCACACGAAGGCGACGGCGGCCCCCTAGAACTCTCGTTCTGACCTGAGGAATTCGACGCGGATCCCGCCGATCCCGTGGATGCCCAGCTACAACCAGGAGCTTCGCTATCCTTGGCCGACGTTGACGACGACGGCACGAAAACGATGGCGGCGGTGCCGGCGCCAGCGGCGGCGGCCGCGTCGGCATTTGGCGGCGTCGTCGGCAACGGGCTTCGGCGTCAGTGGCGGCGCCGTCGGCACCGCCGAGCGGCGGCCATGGCCAACGGCGTCTGCGGCGGGCGGCGGTGAGCGGCGGCGCCGACGGCCGCGACGGCGGTCGCGGCGAGGATGCCGACGCGTTCGGCGACGCCACAAACGCGGGGGCGGCCAAGAAATCCCGGCGACGGCTGGACGTCGACACGCCG